ATACATCACAGATTAGATCAGATTGGCTTTCTATTTATCCATGCTTCTTTTTTTTCTTTTTTTCTTTTTTACTCTTCCAAAACCTGGACCTGAAGAAAAATAAAGCTCTCCTATAGGATCTGGATCTACTCTGCAGTCTCCTTGCAGCGAGACGTCATGTAGCTCCTCACCTTCTGGTAGAGTCATCCACCCTATAGGGAAAGCCTTTACTCTTAAATCTGACATTTAATAACCAGTCAGTATCTTTTAAAAGATGCTCTAGTAAGCTATCTCAACTACGCGTGGAAGTAAGTTCCCTTTATAGCTCCATAACTTTTTTTAAAAGATCAGACCCTCAGACCATTCTGATATTCCTCAGGTTGTCCCATTCCTCGATGAAACTTTAAAGATGTGTTAAAAAGTACCAGTCACAGAACAGTCAGAGTGTTCAGACTCTTTTAAAACCTTTTAAACCCCTGATAACCTTGCCAACTGGAAATTTTTCAACAACCTAAGTAACCGAGTATTATGGACTTTAACTTTAACAAGTTCAGATTTCATGTTCTACATGTAGACAGAATTTGGTGCTCAAATAATTTACCAGAAAAAGGAGATTCACATCTGATTAGTGCTGTAACTAATGATTATTTTACAAATCGATTAATCTGTCAGTTATTTTTTCGATTAATCTATTAATAATCTGATAGCCAAATGTTCCTCAATGAAGATTTTTTTACTAAATTAAACCAGGTGAAACTAAAACTTTTCCACTTGAGGAGTTCTGGATAGAGCGCATTGACAGATGAAAAAAAAGATTTTTCTATCTTAAATGCAAAATGTTTATATATTTTTTACAATTTTTGGTATAATTACTGCTCTAAGTAGGTTTCTCTGTCAGCTAAAGGCATGTTTTTCAGTCTCTATATTCCAGTTATCGATTAATCCATTGCTAAATTAGTTGACGATTATTTCAATAATCAATTAATCCAATTTAATCCGATTCATTGTTTTAGCCCTACATCTGATACTATCTTCGGTTGAGAGCATTTGTTCCTATCCGAACTAAACACAATGTGAGATATTAATGTTTGAGTTGTCAAACATTTTTTCTATAGCTGACTTGTGTAACCTCCTAGACTTTAGGTAGAGACACCTAAACATGTGTCTATACTTGGTGAACATTGACGGAGTGCATTTCATTTGTCTAATATTATTTGCAAAACAGCAATCAGATTTTCTTGAATGGATTTCTTAATTTAACTTCAATTAAAGTTCCTCTACATCCAGCTTCCTAATCCCTGCTGAAGAAAAGCCATCATTCACATTGGAGAGTGTTTCAATGTTTGTGAAGATTTTTTTTTTTTAGGCCAAAAACAGCACCATTGTTCTCATCTGACCAAATAGATGCTTTTACACTTGTGAGGCTGTTTCATCATCTAACTTTAAACCTCTTAACGTTCTCCCTAACCTACATGCTGTCCCTTTCTCTTCATGATGATGTTTCTTCTCTGATGTTCTTTACAGAAAACCTGCAACGATGCTGATATTAAATTACACAGATGATAGACTCTGCATTAAGGCAGGTGGTTGCACTAGGTCTTATTGGGGGGTACTGTCATATAAAAGAACACATTGAAATGCATGATGTACATTTTAGATTGGCACTTGCAAAAAGGTTGAAAATCCAGATTCCCTTTTCTTCTGTTTAAAGGTATCGTGGAGGAAGTTCTTTTTCAGGTTGGATCATCAAAATAAGTTGTCCTCCCAACTGTCAATCATTCTCGTGATATTACGTAAGGCCGTCCTATGTAATCATCCCCATTTTCACTTAGCGGCGAGTCTGACATAGTGGAGAAATTGCAAATCTTCTTTTGGAAAAATTATGAGTTTGTATGAGTGATGCAAACAGCAACTTTTAAACAGAGTGTGCACGAGGAAAAATGCGCTTGTATGCTCTTGCACGCGTTTAATAGGTGTTCCATCTTGGGTATCAGGTGTAGGGTTTTGCATGTGTATTTTTTTAAGTGGAGAGGGCGGGTCTTTTCGAAAAATCCGCCACTATAACTTTAACTATTATAAATTATTATATATTATATATTTTTCATAGGGGGGGGGGAAAAGGTTCAGCAGGTGTGCATACTCTGTAGGCTTTTTATGTGCAAAAGAGCCTGCACATGTTAACACTTCAATATAGATTATAGCCAACCAGTCACTATAGGAGTCCCAGTTAGTCACCTTTTTTACATGCAATGTGGAACATATCATTAAGTCCCAAAGAAAATCTGTGTTTTAAATATTAGACTTTTGTGTTTTACAAAATAAAATCTTATAGTTATAGAAAACCAGAACCGTTTTTTTGGCTTTGAGTCCTTTTTTTTTTTATATATATATATATATCTTAACATATTTTTCTTTCCTGTCTCTACACATCTGTGCACCCCAGGAGGCGGCTCTGGCTGCTGACACACAGCTTGATCAGTACTTTAGGAACACTTTGCACAAATTGTCAAAAATTCCCCTGTGATTCTGAAGACACTGGTTATTTTTATTTCTATTACCCATGACTTCTAAAGCTGTGCAGTTATCACTCACAGTGTCTGAGTGTCACCCTGAGCTGTTTGCATCCACTGTCAACCTGCAAACATCTGAAATCATCTTCTGTCCTAAACCGGTCATCTCAACATGTCAAAGCAAATTTCTAAATCAATTGAAGGATATTTAGTTACTATATCTAAACTTGGTTGTAAACTGAAAATGTATATATATTTTTTAGTTTATTGCGTTAGATTTTTGCAAAAAATAAAAATAGTCTTCTATTTCTGTTGTATTGCACTGCCCTCTACAGGGCAAAGGGAAAAAGACAAACCAAAAAAATATAATCTTCAATCCCTTTCTTTGCAAAAATGGCTAAAACTAAAGGAAATATAATTAAATAAATTGGTAAATATGTTTATTTTTCTAGGTTTTTCATCCTGTAGAAATCATACAATTCCTACTTTATTTGAACTAAATATGGATGTATATTCTTACAAAAAATATATTTAATTACTTAATCCGAAAACTATCATTAAATATTAGCTGTGTGGTGAAGTTAAAATCATATTTAAAAAAAAAATGACCACAAGCTGCAGTAAATTTTCTATAATTTAAGGTGCTGCCAAAACTCTGCCATAGACTTCCATGTAAATCAGATGCTTTGACAACCAGAACATTTTTGTTCTAAACGCACCTTTACATGAAAGCTTATTTTCAGTGCCTTTGCTAAGGTACTTGCTACTCAAAAAGTAGCAAGTTAACATAAATTGTCAAATGCAGACAGCAATGCACAACAGTAATCATTCTTCCAAATTTTTTCATATTTGGCCTCCAGGCCTGATTAAAACAAAAGGGAAAAACAAAAAATTTCCATTGATGATTTAATCTTAAAGTTTGGCTGAATAGTGACTGAATCAGGTGCCTTAGATAAGTATGGGTCTGGTTTGGAGCTATGATTGAATTTTATCCTCTTCTAGATAGAGTCCAGTTATTCATAGGGTTAGGGTTTGCAAAATATTACTAAAGGTTAATCTATGAAGAATGGCACCATCTTTGATCATATTTCCAAATCCAAAACTAAACAAATTGAGACCTGTAAACTGATACCCCTTGTAGGATTGTTTTATCTTTTATATGGAAAGGGAAATTTTACAGTATATTTGTTAATTATATATTATAGTATTTGCTTTAAAAAAACTGCATTCAAATGTATAAGGAAGTGCCTTCCTAAACATTAAAAACTCCCTATGAAGCAAGATGTAATGAAAGCTGTTGAATTTCCACTAAAGTTAATTCACCAACCAGGAAATGATTAGCTGAGCTCAAGGTAAAAGGAACAAAATTTAAATTCTTTGTACCAAATATCGTAATATTGCAGTTTCTGCAACAGGATGTATGGTACAACTTCATATTAAAGGCAAAAACTGCTCAAGTAGAATGTTTTATAACAATTTAATTAGACTTTTCTATAGCAGTTAAAAATGTTATTTTGGCCTTTAGTTTTTCAGACAAAAGAGGCAGATCCATTCACTGCCTTAAAAAAAAAATCACCATTTTCTGAAAATATCCACACCGTTTGAGGTTGTGGCACATGCTAAGCCGGCATGGCCTTAATAGCGCATAATGCATGAACCTGACAGAATAGATGTTAATCAACCAGATAAGCAAGAAATGTCACAAGCAGACACAAACTAGTCAGGACACAAGAACATGCTAGTGATTAAACTGCTGCACACAAGACCAAATGAAAATACCTCAAATATCTTAATACAAAAAAAAATTAAAAGCCATCCTATGTATATCTTAAGAGAGGACATGCCCAGATGTTTGTAAATGTTTTATTTAATCTCTCAATGGGACACTAAGATACAGTGTACAAGTGTATATTTGCTTCTGACAGAATTTTGTCCAGTTAGCAATTATCTTTAAGAAAACAAGATCCCGGGTGAGATGGGAGCAAATGTGTTATTGCTTCAGATTGTGAATTTCACTTTTCCAAGCCATTTACAATATAAATACCCTTTGTTGCCCCACAATAGATAAATTCAGGCACAGCAGCAGCAAAGCAAATGTGTAAATTACAGTTTTAAAGTACAACTAAAATATGAAACCACAGGGGCGGCTGCATTTTATTCAACTTTGAAAGCATGCATCATTTCAACTTTAAAATCATATGGAAGAAAATGTATACAGTAAATATTTTGATGATTGTTAAAAATGCTTTACGGTCAGAGTGTAGGACAACGGGCTTATCTTAAACAAGTTTGGGAGTTCATAGACAATACCAGACACCAATTATTCCAGTCACAATGTGCCCCGACCTACAATCATGTCATGTCAGCATCTTCTCAAACTTGTAATGATGGGTTTCTATTAACTAAGAGAACAGCTTTACTTCAGTGTAGTTAATCCTTTTAAAATGAACGTATACGTCGCAAATCTAAATATAACCCCACATGGGGGGAAGAAAAGGAAACTGTCAGTAGTAGATTTTAAAGTTTACATTTATTTAAGGGCAACAATTCATAAATACTGAGCAGCTCATTGGTACATTCAGACCAAGTGAAGGGAATTTATCTAAATCGGATCGAAAAGAGAACTCAAACCCTGTTTAAAAAAAAAGGGACTGATGCTATTTATGTTAAATGTAAATTTACAGTCTCATTCACCCGAGCAGCAACATGCCAACTAAAAAGATCAACATTGAAGTAAACTAATCTAGAAAGCCATAGTCATGTCTGGCTTCATAATGTTACATATGTTAAAGCTTTGCTCACCAAACAATAGTAATCATATTAACAAAAATGATGATCCAAGCAGGTTCAGAGTAGTTGAAGCTGGTTCAAAGAGTCAAAACAAAATGCTTGAATGTGTCAGACGGCATGTTGTTGCAGATTCCTTCCGTTACATGAAGGATGATCTTTTTTCCCCACTTTTCCCTTCCAACAAGTTCACTCCACATCCATTGTTCATAAATGATAGTCCATCTCTAGCATCATCAGCCCAAAAAGCTAATCCAATGGGAGCTTGGTTGGACAACATGATGGGAACTGTTGATCAGAGGCACATAAGGGCTGATCTTCGTAGGATGGCAACTTATTTTGGGTTAGGAAGAGGGCGCCGGAACAGCAAGATATGGGGTTCTGTAGGGTGGAAACAGGAAAAAATAAAATACAAAAGATTAGATAAAACTCAATAAATTGGGTCACAAAATGTAGAGTATTCTGGGGGGTCAACATATTTGGCATTGCTGATGTTAAGAAAAGGTCTTAGTTATGCATTATAAACTGAGGGAGATTCTAATGGAACAAACCTGTTCTGCAAGATGTTTGGTTTAAAAGTGCATTTAAAAACACACACCCCACCCACTTTCAAACAAAACCACTAGCAGTTTACCTGAAATCAAAAACATTAAGGATATTGAAAAGAAGTGCAGAGAAATCTGAATAACCATCAGCTTAACCCTCTCGGTGGCCCTTCCCGTTTTCAAAAGCGGAATTTCTGCCCAAGTATTTGGTGAAGAATTCCTGCTTTTCAGGGCTTATGGCGATATGGAGTTTGTAGTTTTGTCACATTTCAAAAAATAGTGATAAACCAATTTATAAAAATTTATGTCAAAACCAAACTTGATTTAGAAAGTTAGAAATTACTGTGATTCATTAGTGCATCCAGCATTGCATCCTGCAAGCAGCATTAGTGCATTGTTGTAATCTTATATTTGTTATGCATAGGTAACGGATGGATTGTTGTCATTTCGTTTCAACCAGACTTTAGTAACGTTGTGGCTTTTTTGCGTGTAAATTAAAGAAAAAAGCCAATATTAGCTTAAAGATTCAGCCCAATAACACTTATCAGGGATCTATTAGACAATTGTCCAATAATAGGTATTGGCATAATATAAAATAGTTAATCACGGGTTTGGCAAGAGATCAGACACAAAAAGTATCTTAACAGCAACTTCCTAGTAGGGCTGGGCGATAAGACGATACATATCGTACGGACGATAGAAAAGTGTCTATCGTGCTAATTCTATTCTATCGTTTCTAACACAATTGTATCTCGTATTCATGAAAATATTTTCCATGGTAGACTACGACAATCGTATTAGTGTAGCCACGTAGCCTACACACAGCTTATAAGTGATAAGATTTTTTTTTTTTATCCACAAAGAAGCGGCGTCCTGTGGTTTTTGCAACATGACGCTTCTTTACGGGTTTTTGACCCACACGCGGGTTTGCAACATGCTTTATGTTACTTAACTCATGAGAGTTGGAGACGCAGGAGGCTGAAGTATTAAACCTGTGGTCGCAACAAACAGACAGCTACGCAGGCAACCCAAGATAAAGAAATTTTACCAAAAAGAGGGAGGACATCTGTGATTTGGTTACATTTTGGATTTAACAAGTCCAACAAGGAGCAGACAACATTTGCAAACTATGCTACAAGACTGTTCCCTTACCCGATGGCAACACAACAAACCTCTTCTAATACCTAAAGAAGAACCACAGTAATTTAATTTAAATACCCGTAGGATTTGAAAAAAATGTGAAGGATACTGTAGCCATACTTCCACCTCATCTTATGCATATATATTGTTGCACTACAATTTATTTTTCTAATTTGTGACAGTTCTATAAATGTAACTTCAAAATAAAGTTGAAAAAGTAAGCAATTATATTATTTTGTCATATTTTTCAGAGATTTGCTGAAAATGTACTCAATTGGAGCATATTGCGATATATATCATTATCGTGATATAAAATAGTCCATATGATGATATATGATTTTTTCCATATCGCCCAGCACTACTTCCTAGAGTTAGGATTTACTTGGCAGTACAACTGTAGACATGTTTAGCTAGAGAATTTAGCTAAAAAAATTTTGTATTATAAACAAATGCAAAATGTCAATTTCCTCCATCACAATATCAATTGGTGTTCTGGAAATTTAAGAGTTGTTGTATTCGCTAGTTTTCAGAAAACTAATAAATATTCGTGATTATAACTGCCACAAGTTACCGTTTTTCCCCTAAACAGACGGTTTTAATACTATTACTTTACAAGTATTGTTGGTAAGCTATATCTGAAAACATCAACACTGCAGCCAACATGGGTAAAAATGCACAACTGACTATATATCCAAGACTTGTTAAACTGAATTAAACATACCTGGTTGATGGATCATGTAATGTACCCATCCTTGGCTCTGTTGGACCCCCAGGTTCCTCCACTCGGTTTCGGACATCAAGTGAGTTTTTGGTACACGTTTTGCGATGTCTTTCGGCAGCATTACGTGCCTGAAAGGCAAACATTTACATCACGTTACAATAGGCTACACGCCTATTGCTTTAGACGCTAAACACAAAAGTGTGTCAAACAAACGTTACATAACAGGAAGTCGACAAACATAAACATATATAAGTAAAACCGACCTGTACTCGTATTTGTCGTCATCATATTTGTCAGAGTAGTAAATCTGTTTGTGAGACATGGCGAAGGTCTGAAAAAAACGTTTCAACCATTAGTTAGCATCGAGAGAAACCAGAAGCTAAGAACATTAGCAGCAACTTTAAGCAAAGCAAGCGCTGTGGCTAGGCTAACTGCTTAAATTAATTTGACATGAACAGTATATAACATTATCTAAACGTTGAAAAACTACGTCAAATGCGTTTCATAGTTACCGTATGAAAGCGTCTAGTTAAAATTCTCGGAAATATATTGTTTTCGTTAAGTTATCCACTTCAAGCGACAGCGAGATGTTTGCTCTTTCTTTGTTTCCCTCGCGACTGTTTCCCAGCCCGCTTTTCTCCATTCAAAAAGACCTGGCGTCTCCCCATTGGTCAACCCGACGGAAGAACTCCCCTCTCACTGGCTGTTCTCACGGAACCACCTCATTTCATTGGCTAGCATATTCTGTCAGAGGAAATGACGTAATTTATTTCTAGCTTTTCTATTGGCTAATGCAACCTTGTTGATGGTTTACTAGGGGTAAAAACATCTAGCACTTTCCTTCATTTATTTGCACATAATCTGACGAGAAAGATTTATTGTCTCTTTTATTTGTATGTAATTTAGACATTTTTCGTTTGTTTTAAAAGAAAGTAACACTGAAAAAAACAGCTTTGGGCTCCAGGAGATGTAACAATTGAGACTTTTAAATTATAATTTCTTTAGTTAACTTTTGCTTACATAAACCTTTTAATTTACGTTATGACACCTGTGGTGATAACAGCAAAATAACTGCTTTTGATGCAAGTAAAAAAACTGTCTACTAACATTCTTAAGTGTAATAACAGACTTCTATCTACAATAAGTAAATCAGTTTTCTGCTACCGTAATATTTTCAAAGCTTTATTTCTAATTGTGAAATGCAAGAAATAGAGCTTCAGAAGGACGTTTTTTTTTCTCTTAACTTTAAACAAATTCTTTCAATGTTAGATGTTTAAAACATGCACACTGTTGATTATGAATATTCTTTTACGTACTGACTATTGGCAGAATACAGAGAAAGGATCAATATGCACAACTGTTATGTTTGGAGAATTCATGCATTTAGCAAGAAAACAAGAAAAAACTCCTCAAAGACCATTGCATCATCAAGTGCCTTCCAGAACTGCACAAACACTTAACACTTTTTCACACATTGCCATGTTATAACAAAAAAAAAAATACCCTCTATTTTCAATCTATATAAAATAACACAAAGTAGTTTGTAGTTAGTATGTCACACTGAAAAGTGTACTATTGCATTGCATACTATTGCATTAATTTATTCTTGTACCCTTAAACAAAATCTATAATGACAAATAATTTTTTTCTCTCTTTAAACACAATTTCCATCTTCAATCATTTTCACCATGTTGCCATTTGCAAGATTGCTGGCCGATTTTGGGGTGATCTAAAGGAATAACAACCACAGACTCATAGCTATGGGCAATTTACAGAGACCTGACTGCATCTGCATGGAGTCTGCAAACCCTGCAAACTAGGAATAGTCTAAGGGTCCTTAACTTAGTGGGTTGCCCCAAAAGAAGAAGACAGATATGTCCTGTTATATTTTTTGAATATAAAAAAAAAGTCCAGCAGTAACCTTCCCCCATCGATCCTCACATGTTCTACAGAAGCACCATAGGGAGCTTTCTGACCAACTGTCTCACGGTGTGGTCTTGAGGCTACAGCGCCACAGACTGGAAAAGGAGGAGAGTAGTGAGAGCTGCAGAGAAGATAATCTGGGCTCCTCTTCCTTCCATAAAAGACATTTCATCCCAGTGCTAATTATGCTTTTTTAGACATTGATTAATTTAAAAAATATCAACGACCCCTCACACCCCCAGCGTGGACGGTTCTCCCTGCTGCCTTTTGGGAAGAGACTTTTCAGCATTCAATGCAGGTCCAGCAGATTCCAAAACAGCTTCTTCCCCACCGCCATCAGACAGCTTAATGTTGAAGACACTCTACATCATGTCACAGTCTCTGGATCAAACTGACCATATCAATGTGTTTTGTGCACTATGTTTTTTTCCCTCCCAATGTGTACATTTGATCACTGCTGCACTGTAAGAAATGGAAATGAGAGCTGTACAAAACGAAATTTTGTTTTGTATACACTCTGTTTACAAATGACAATAAAGTTTGTCTAAGTCTAAAATAAATTATCTTTGTGTTCTCCCTAATTTTTTAGCAGTAAACAGTGAAACAACGCATGAATAAGTGCCAGGCGCGTGCCATTTTACATAAAGATAACGATTAAAACAAATTAGCAAGAAAACTGGGAGTGACAGTGGTGTTGGGTGCAGGAGTTTGCCTTGGCTTTTCAGTGTCATTGTGTCCTTTGGCAAGACACTTCACCTGCATTGCCTATTGATGGTGGTCAGAGGGCCCGATGGCTCCAGTGTACGGCAAAAAGGAACAGAAAGAGGAGAAATGGATAAAGTCGTGTGTAAAATCTGTGTTGACATTAAAAAAGTTTTGTTTGATTTTTATATTCAGATTAAACTGCAATCATTAAAAGACATTTATAAATCTTGATCATTCTCATGAGCAGCCTGAAGCAGCCACACTAATAATAAATGTTTTGTTATTACACTTATACATACATGAAAAATAAGTTCATAGGACCAGCATAAAAATAATCTGTCCTTTAATAAAGTTATAGTGAATCCTAATAACACTATATTTTCCATATCCAAAACCTATTTTCTATGTGTGTGTACATAGATACAGCTGTTTTTTTTCTGTTTTAAATAAGCTGTTATTATTTTGATAGTATGATTTTTAATGTAAAGCGTAAAAGTAAAGGTATAGTGGAGGCGGGTCTTTTAATGAATTTTTGAGAAGACCTGCCCTCTCCACTTTTAATAAAAATGTACATGCACAGCCCTGTATCTGCTCCTGAGAGGGATCACCTATAACACATCGCTCATACAAGCCTACTTTCCAAAAGAGGATTTGCAATTTTTCCACTATGTTAGACTCACCTCCGATAAGTGAAAATTGGGGCGAGCACGTAGGACGGCCTTACGTAAACATATCACCAGAAAGATTGAGAATTAGGAGGACTACTTATATTGATGATCCACCCCGAAAAAGAACATGCTCCGTTATACCTTTAATGTATATTTAACTTTTTTCCATTCTGATAATTTTCCTTTTGTACAAATTTAACAATAAATATTAAACTGAAAATGCAAATTATACTCTTCAGTGTGTCTTTATAATAGTTTTAAAGCTTTTCATACATTTTTGAATATCAATGTCTTTCATGGGGCCCCAAATTCCAACGTGGCTCTCTGATTAGTGAGTTCCTTTTACTGCCTGTCAAGCTCTATAGCCTAAGCTTTCTGCTTTTAAATTAACATGAAGATACATTAGACTCAACTATATAAAATACGAAGGACTAGCTATAGCAGCTATAATGTATGTTTTGGTTCCTAAAAGTGTAGAATAAAAAAAAACCCTGAATGTTGAAACTGTAACTAGTCATATGTTTACATCACTATTTTTCACCAAGTTTTTGATTTATTTATTTATTTTAGTCACAATGTTTTTATCACTGCTGCTCAGCTTTATCAAGGCTTTACTTTAAAAAATTAAATAGTCTAGAGAGCTGTACTTAATGAAATGTACAATAAAATGAAATATACACGTGTATACAAAATTACAAAATAAAATCTGTCTATGTCTAGATCTAGAGGCAAAAAAATGCTCCTCTCAGTCTAAACACTTGAAACTAATTATAGAGGATAGGGAATCAGATGATGAAAGCAGTGTCCACTCTGCAGCAACAGGAGAGCTGGGGTTGTCCACTCTGGTAAGTCCCACAGTCAAATATAGCTGTGCAGACGTGTCAGTGAGCGGCTGGTCTGTGCAGCCTCTCCCTCTGGTGTATAAATATGTGGGACCACATACATCCTGAAGGTCGGGGTCACACATGAAGCTGTATTATTATAAACCCTCAAGAAGTAGTTCCGTCCATCACTTTCCGCTCCCTCACCTGCGTGCGTCAATCACGTATCTTTCCTGGCCCCACGCTTCTCTCTGATTGGTCTAGCCTTTATCCGGGGGCGGGAGCTCCTGGATCAATCCCGAAATCCCATTGGACAAGGCCTTTATTCGGTTGACGTGACGCAGCTCGGAATTCCCAAAGTTCCCAAGTTCACAGGAGGAGAGCAACGTTGATTTTACGACTAAGCAAGAGTTTTTGAAAGGGGAAATAAGGCAGCAACTGGAACATAAGCAGGTTTGTGTCAACACATCGAGTTCTGTTGTTAATGTGGCGCTTTCGACGGTCCTTCCCGCTACAGGGCCTGAGTGGAAAGGCGGAAGAGTGGGAATGGGAATGTTCAGGCTAACATCCTTTGTTTACCATCCCGATTGCACCTTCAAACCGGTTGCTACAACAACCCCAGCCCCCAAAGAAAGGCTCATATGTAATTTAAAGTGAACATTGGCGCTCTAGAGCCTGCTGGCTACTCAGTATCTGTCTCTATTTGTCTGTCTTTGGATCAATGAGCTGCTCGAAGCTGAGGCTTAACTAGCTTTTCAGATTTAACTGCAGCTCAGACCGCGAATATAAATGATAGGCACTCTAAATTAAATCAGCAGTTCTTTTTTTAATATCCTCTGTATTTTACTGCGCAGCAGAGTGTTATGGATGCCACCATGTCGTTACATAACTGGAATCAGGCACAATCGGCTCTTTATCCCGGGGCTGCGCTCCGCATGTTGCTTAAATATTACGTTGGTTGCATAATTGCGTCCTTTTAAAGCAGTTTGTATAACACCTACTTACAATACTCCATGCAAGAGGCATTTTGTATTTTTTTGGTAAACTATCTCAGTTCAAATCCCTACACACTATTTACAAGTATTTAAAAAATATATATACAGTGTGCATGTATAGCAGCTTTTTGTGTTAGAGACATTTTGTATGATAATACAATTTAATAACGACACGTTTACGAAGGGAACGTCGTTGCTGTCGTCATGTGCAGGATATTATAAAGGTGAATCTGTCTGCTGCGGTGCCAATCTCAGCCTCCAGAGGGCGATGTCTGACACCAGCAACAGCACAGGAAGCACTGGCTCCTCCACCAACAGCTGGACCCTCCTCTCACCTGAGGTAAGCTTTGCCAGGCAGGAAGGCATGATCATGTTTTGCATTATTAATGATTTCACAATTTTCTTCCTACTTAAAGCTACTATATATGTTTTTCAGTGTTATTAAAATCATAGTCAAGACTTTCTGCCCAGAGGCGTAGCCAGAATTTTTTTATGAGGGTGGCCAGGCAATAACCAGTGTACACTGAGGCCCGAAAGTAGATAGGCACCAAAACCTCAC